GGACAAGGCAAAAATCATGACTTGTTGGGAAGCTCGAATTCTCGTAGGTAGTCGGTTGTATTCTTGATAAAGTATGTAATAACCCAAATTTACCTTTTATTTATTTATTTTGTTTTGTTTTGTTTTGTTTTGTTTTTATTTTTATTTATCTTATCTTATTTTTATTTTTATTTTTATTTTATTTTTATTTTTTATTTCATGTATATTTTATTTCAATCGAAGTTTACCAAAAACGAAATGATAAAAAAACACAAAAATATTCATTCAGGGGCACAATTGCATTCAAAGAAAGGTTTAATTGAAGTAATTAGGGGTATAATTAAACCAATTGAAAAATTTAGAACCTAAATTGCTTCTTATAGGGATCCAATTGATAAGATTGCACTTTATAAAGACTAAAATTATTCCATAGAGGTGCGTAATTACCGAAATTGAAATGCGTAAGGACCAAGTTGGACTTTTGGAGGAGACGACAGGATCGGAGTGGGGAGGATGACTTGTCATCCACTTCACTTCGATTTCTCTCCGAAAATCTTTGGGAGAAATCTACCAAATCTTCCATCAAGTTTCTTGTTTTGATTTTGCATTCATCATGATTCTTGGACGAAATTAATAACGAGAGAATCAAGCAATAATCAAATTTTCTATTTTGATTTTGCATCAATAATGAATTAAATAGGAAATTTATTGACAAAAAAATTCAGGATTTAGATTCGATTCTAGGAAGTTTTGGCTATAAAAAGGAGTCTAATTTCACGGAAAAGGGTGAGGAATTAAAGGAGAGATCCCGTGTAGAAAGAGAGGAAAAAGAAAAGCAAAGGAGAGTTGAAAATTCAAAAATTTGGGTGTTTAACTACCGGGTTTTCCTAGGTTTGTGTTCTTAGTGTTCTTGGTGTTCGGACTTTGGTTCATAATCGGTCGATCCTTTTCGGTTCCTTGTTTTGTGTTTCTCTAGGCTAAATTTATACCTTCATAGTTTTCTTCATCTCTTTGTTTAAAATTCGAGGTGCGATTCTTCCATTTTCATTTTTTTCTTCACGTTTCTAGGCAGAGTTGGTTTTTTCTAGGTTTTATGTTCTTCACTTTTCCGGGTTTGTCTTCAAACTCTAGGTTTTGGTTCCACATTTTTTTTCTTTCTTTCTTTTCCATTAGAGATTTTTAGGCGCAGTCTTTTTGGTTGTTTAGTTCCCAATCATCCACAAATCCCCAAGCGAATCATCTTCATCAAATCTAGTGCGAGACGATCATTCTTACTCGTAAAATCAATAGCAATCATAATGAGAAATACCAAAATTATCCTTCATTCCTTTGGTGTTGCTCGAGTAATCCTAATGCCAAAATCATTCCATTTTTGTTATATTAATTCTTAAGTTATTCATAGTAGAGTGTGAATTCAAAAAGAAAAAAGAAAAAGGAATTGGACGTTACATCCGGAAAGAACATAAAAGATGGACGAAAGAGAGAGAGAGGGTTCTAGAGGTTGTTTGATCGAAGAAACAAAATAGAAGAGAGGTGGGTCTCGTTTGTGGATTTAAGGTCCAGCTCGGAAAGTCTAAAGGAAGAAAGAATGGGTTTAGGCCAAGCCCACCCATAGGATGCTCTGGCTCTAGCTAATAGGTAGAAGTGGGTTTTAATTCAGACTTCCGCCCATATCCTTTGCCCAAAAAAATAAAATAAAAAATAAATAAGAAGCTTATACGGGGAGTGAATGGGAAGTCAGGATTTGTCCAGTTTCCAACCAAAAAAAATATAAAAAAAAGAAAAGAAAAGAGAGATTTCCCAATAAAAAAAAAACGAGAAGGCAAAATATGCACCTGGTTGGTTTCTTTTAACCAGTCTTCTCCCAAAGAAGAAGAAGAAGAAGAAGATGGGGTAGGAGAAATAAGTTAGGGGTTAATAGATTATGTCCAAAGTGATTTCTTTTAACATTTTAAGTTTATTTATCTATTTCCTTTATTTTATTTTTAGCTTGATTTTATTTTTTATTTCTTCTCATGTTTTCTTCCAATAATTAGAATTGATATTTTAATTCCTTTTTTTCATGTTATTAGATTAAAAGAAAAAAAAATATAAAATTTTGGCGAAGTCTCTTACCCGATTGGGACCGACGTCACCCAAAAAAATATATAAATAATATATATATATAAAATAATTTGGATGAAGTCTCCTATCTAATAGGGATTGACGTCACCAAAAAAAATGTATAAAACTTTTGGCGAAGTCTCCTACTTGGTAGGGACCGACGCCACCAAAAATAATAATAAATAAATAAATAAATTTGACGAAGTCTCCTATATGATAGGGATTGACGTCATCAAAAATCACCTTTTAATCAAGACGTCCTTCGACACGTCGGTTGTGTTAAGGCCTTTGGTGGATCCGATGTTTGAACCGACGTGTCGCCCGACAAAGGGGACCAACGATCGTTTCAATACGATGTCACGCTCAAAGTAAAATTATTATTATTATTATTATTATTTGCTTAACTTTGAAAAAAGATGGGAGTTTAAAAATTAGAAAATGGTTTGACATGGATTTTTAGGAGATGAATTTAGAACTAAACCATACATGGTACCTTTTTTTAGAAAAAGGGCACTTTTAGGTGATTAAATATCTTCCTAAAAGCGTAACCAACTCCTTACCTTAGGAATCTCCGAACCAATGCTACTTTTAGGTTCCTAGTTCCTTAAATACTAGGTGGCGACTCCAAAATTCCGTAAATAAATTTTGTAAATAATTAATGCTTAGATTTAATTGCTTTGGGAAGTCTTGTCCGACGTCGTGTAGCGACAAAGTATCAATTGTTTGTTTTTTCAAATTGATAAGGATGTTTTTATACTTAGACGAAGTAAACACCTTGATCTTTTAGAAACTTTACATACTTTTTTAAGTGGGGGCTAGAGATTTCCTTGAGAGAAATATGAGATCTCTAATCTCTAATGGATATACATGGTGTCTTTATAGCTATGTAATGTGTGCTTTTATATCTAGACAAAGTAAAACCATGAATTTTTGAATCCTAGATTTCCACATTGCTAGATGTATTTTGAAAAGACTAGGGTAACCTTTCATCTTGTCTCTTCTTTTTGGTGACTAGGGTGTCTTTAAATTTAGGCAATATAATAACTCTAGTTTGGAAGTGTGGATGAAGTCTTTGATTTTTATGAAGGTGCATGCAATTTTTAGACTTGAATAAAATATGTATTTATTCTTAGATAAGGTAATAAAAATAAGTTTTTACAATCTTAAATACCTATTTGTTGTCGGTTGCCTTTTAAGAGTTAATAAATGTTTTCTTTTTATAGAGATGGTCAGAATGTCATTATATTTGGATAAGGTAAAACCCCAACTACCTTTATCTAGGATCTTTGTGAGTATAACATTTTTAATAAAGAAATAATTTTATTTTATTAAAAAGAGTGGACTTTCTTATCAAACATATTGATTGACGAATTGTTTTAGAAAAATACCTTCATTAATTATATGTATAAATATTTTTTACATAAAAAAGTTGGCCATTGAAGCGTATCAATGTGCTTGGAGGGTTTAGATTGACGACTTGTCTTTTTTCTTTATGCTCAAGTCCTTTTATTGTCCCAAATGCTATCAGCTTTTTTCATATCGGAGGAGGAGCACTTTTTGAAGGTCACTTGACTTTCTTTAACTGTAGATGTTCCTTTGGATGTATGGAATTTTTTAGACAAGTACCGTGATCAAAGATTCTATTTGATCTTGTATCGATATGTATGCGATAAGATCAAATTTAATTGTTGAAACCCTTATACATTATGATTGTTACATCATTTAATAAGCATCAAGTTTTTATTTTCACTCCACGGTAAATCAAGAGTATTCTTAGGTTAATTTACTCATTAATCGAAAATAAAAAAAAATTCTTAAATTAAAATGCCTTTTTTTTTTAAAAAAAAATTTTAAAGTCGAACACTCCGTATAGTCTTGATGCAATAATAATAATAATAAAAAAGTCTTAACTATCGATTTCAAAATTCGAATTTTAAAAAGTAAAATAGAGCCAATTTTTTCAAATACCAGATCTGCCCTTTAATATTAACAAGGAACAAGTTCAAGCATCATTAGCATATATAACTCACTAGGCTAGCTAGCTGCTCAACTTTCTACTACTTCGAATTTATGACTCAGCAGTGCTAGTAGTCCTGTTAAATATGGATGTAACGAAATTTTGTATCTCTACGGAGTTTGAGTTTGAAGAAGGAATTCTCGACCTGCAAGGGATAGAGTAGAATAGGATTTATTCTGTCACGTAGTAATTGATGGAACTATATTGAAGAAATGCTGTGGAAATTTGTTAACTAGATAAACTGCTATATATTAATCAGTCCAGAATAGTTAACATAAACCATGCATTATCAATGAAGCAACAACTTAATTAATTATAATAAGATAGTAATTAAAAATATCCAACCAGATATACTTTTTTTGTGCGTATTAATTAATATATTAATCAAGTAAAGTAGTTGTGTCATTCTATGAAATGTGTGGAAAGGAAGGTGCAAATTAACAGCAAACTGATGAAGATCAAAGACATGACATAACTGATGCGTGTGATGTCCTCATTCATTCTCATTTAAAATAAAATATTACACGCATCAATAGATGTTTTCCTTGTAATTCTAGAAAAGGGAAAATTCAACATTCTTATAAAATCAGAAGCCTGCAATCTGTTGATTAATTAAGTAGCTAATATAATGGGAAATTAATAACTTGAGCTGCTAATATAATTTACTCTAATCTTCCAATCTTCCTTCCATGCCCATATGACAAATGGGCGGAGACTGAAATCCGTCGAATAGTCTGTGCATTTAATTAGAGGACTTTAAATGGTTACGTGTCAATTTATCAGCCACGATGCTTCATCGTATTGACCATCGACAAGGATACACAAGTCATTTTGAGCAGAAAAAGAAGCAGCAAGCCAGCAAACAATAAAAGACTTTCAGTAAATAATAATAATAATAACAATGGCTTCAACAAACTTTAGGAGCTCATTCGCACTTTTACCCTCTCAGCAAAATCCCACTTTATCCTCTCTTACCTGGTCTCCCCACTCCCAGATTCACCGGAAACGGGTATCCCTTGTCTCTCACAAAAGAACTCGCCGGAGGCCACGGCGGAAACTAGTTGGGGGAAAGGATATGTCTGTTGCAGTCACCATGCCCCCGCCGTCTCACCGGCGTGACAAAAGCCAGGACTCGTTTTTGGATTCTACAAATAGTAAGTCTATACTCATCAATTACGATCAGATTATGTTTATAGTGTTTTAATTTATTTTTTGATATCCAAAAACAACTCGTGCTGGACTTGTTACTCCAGTCGTTAAAAGTTAATGGCTGCTTCAGTTCATGGCTAAGGGAGAGGTTATTTTTTCAGAGATTTAAGGATAAATTTAAATTAAAAAAATTCGGATCAATTGGCTTTTAGCGTGAACTGGACTTAAAGGTTTTCAATCTTAATGAACTGAAAACGCTAAAAAAGTTCAGATTTCCTAGAAGCTTTATTTTTAGTTTTTTGGGAAGATCAGATAATGTATTTAGTATACGTGTATCCATGCTTGACCTAGGTGCTGGTGAAGGAGAAATGTTAACAGCAGAAGTAGAAGGAGAGACCGTTTCGACCAGTAAAGATGTTTTGCATAAAAGCAGATATCTTCGTAGCAGAATATGTTTCGGTGTGGACTTGTCACCAGATAATATTGCAGTATCAATGGTGTATTTTGTTCAAGGTGTATTGGGCCTGGCCAGGCTCGCCGTTAGTTTTTACTTGAAAGATGATTTGCATTTAGATCCTGCAGAGGTATGTTGTCCTGCTTGTTTTTATCCAGTTAATGTTGCTCTTCTTAATTTTATTTTCTTGATAGTGATTCATCTTTCTTAAATTTTGATAATATATATATTTATTTTTTATGTTTTTTGGAAATTGGTCGTGAGGTATAATATTGTTATGATGAAAGTCTTATTTTATGTGTTTTATCATCTTTGAGGACTGACAAGGTACATGGTTGACTAGACAGCTGTGATATCCGGTTTTTCTGCATTGCCTTGGCTTATCAAACCTCTTTATGGATTTATTAGGTTCGATTTTATATATTGTTACATTTTGCATTTCCTTCCTGCTTCACTAGGAGCAAGTAATTGTTTCATTTCTGCATTTCTTTTAAGTAATTGTTTTGCTATTGCAGTGATTCCATTCCACTCTTTGGTTATCGAAGAAGGTCATACTTGGTTCTTTCAGGACTTCTTGGTGCACTTTCTTGGAGTTTGATGTCGACCTTTGTTGATAGCAAATACAGTGCTGCCTTCTGCATACTTCTTGGATCACTTTCTGTTGCCTTCTCAGACGTTGTGAGTATCTTCAATTCCATGAATTTTGTAAAATGCCTGGGCAAATATGTCATCGATTTTAAGGATTGATTAAGAATCAATGACTTTTTGAGAGAATAGGATGTGTTTATGTCTGAATTTAGCAGTAGTAGTTGACTGGTAATTAAAAGAAGCTAATGCTTCTAAATATAGATTAATTATGAGCTACTTGGAATTTGTTTTGCATTAACACAAGACCAACGCTAATTATCTAGCAGTGTAACCTAAGGTTTACCTTCTTTTTATATTTTTTGATGATATGATCGTGGGTTGTCCATCAGAGTGGTATACAATAGGTACTAGTTTGCGGGGGTATTTTTAACAGTACTTGTGCGAGCAAATTCATCTCAGGGCTGGTGCTCTGCCTACGAAGACAAAATTTTATCACTTTGTTAAGGATATTGATTTCAACTTTTGTGGGTTTTATCAATAGTCTTTGTCATGCGTGCTTGCCAAGAAAAGAAATTCTGTATATAAAGGCTTGGGATACCCTTTATTGAAAGGCGTTGGCTAATTACATGACTGATTTGCCCCAAAATTGGCTTATTGTGCAGGTTGTGGATTCGATGGTGGTAGAGAGGGCTCGTGGTGAGTCACAGAGCATGTCAGGATCTCTTCAGTCTTTATGTTGGGGGTCGTCAGCTTTTGGTGGGATTGTGAGCTCTTACTTTAGTGGCTCTCTGGTGGAAGTATATGGTGTAAGGTACTTGAACGTGGCTTTGGATTGAACGTCGCTTTGGATAAATGTAATCTCTTGGTACTGATGACTTTCAAATTAATCAAATTAGTGCTGATTTTTCGATCTCAGGTTTGTTTTTGGTGTTACGGCATTGCTACCTCTGATAACATCTGCAGTTGCTGTTCTTGTGAAAGAACAGCGTGTGCTTGGTCCGACAAGTGGACTGAATCTGGCTCTGACTGGTCCTGGTTTTCTGGAAACCTCAAAGCAGCATATTACTCAGTTGTGGGATGCTGTTAAGCAGCCCAATGTGTTTCTTCCCACATTATTTATTTTCCTGTGGCAGGCAACACCGCAATCAGACTCTGCCATGTTTTATTTCACGTATGTGCAGACGATGATTAGCATTAATTCCTTATCCTTCAAATCTCGTTTCATCTCTACTCAAGATTGTTTTATTGATTGTGATACCTAAAAAATTTTGTTTTCCAGCACAAATAAACTTGGTTTCACTCCAGAATTTCTTGGACGTGTCAAGCTTGTTACTTCAGTTGCATCATTGCTTGGGGTTGGACTGTATAATGGCTTTTTGAAAAATGTTCCTCTGCGCAAGATCTTTGTTGCTACTACTGTAACTGGTACAGCTCTTGGGATGACTCAGGTTTGTGTTATGATTTACTTCTAGTCAGGCTTAGCAGTGAATTATCGTGTTTAATGGATTCTATTATACATATTCACTTTTTGTTAAAATTCTTGGTTCAGGTTTTCCTTGTTACTGGTTTAAACAGAAAGCTTGGGATAAGCGATGAGTGGTTTGCTATTGGGGATTCTTTGATTCTAACAGTTCTTGGTCAGGTAACATATGTTTGTCAGACCTCTTATGACAGCTCTGATGTTGTCTGTTAGTTCTGTTACGCCTGCACATGGCATGCCGATACGTACTGTGGAAGACAAGCTTTTTATGCCTGGAAAATTTTTAAGTCCCAGTTCAGTTTGGTACAGTAGTTTTGAGCATTTCTTTCTGCCAAGTGGTTTCCAAAAGGATGGGGGAACTTATATTTCTATTCAAATTGGTTGCTTTGTTTCTTTTATACATTCAGTTTAAGGCATGATTTTACTTGCTAGTTAGATACTTAGATCCTTTTGTTTTGTGCTGTTAGTAAGATCATTCTATTGAGGTATTGTGGATGTTCAGGCATCCATTTCCTCAACACTACCTATGTTCTTTTTAGCTGCGTATTGTCATGCCTCAACTGTTTTACTTCTTATTTTGTGCAAGGTTGATCTGTCAAAAATCGTATGCCAGAGTAGCTGAACTAACTAACTGGTTTTTTTGCAGGCTTCTTTCATGCCAGTTCTTGTGCTAGCGGCTAAGTTATGTCCAGAGGGCATGGAAGCGACACTTTTTGCAACCCTTATGTCCATTTCAAATGGAGGGAGTGTTCTTGGCGGGTTGATTGGTGCTGGTCTGACTCAGTTATTTGGAGTCACAAAGGACAATTTCGACAACTTGGCCTTTTTGATTATTCTCTGCAATCTCAGCTCATTGCTTCCGTTGCCACTTCTAGGCCTCCTACCCAATGATACATCCGATGCCATTTCGAAGGACAGTAGAGATATCGAGACGAAGTCTAATTGAATTAGGATGATTACTTCCTCATTATCCAGTGCACATGCGAAGCACTTTTCATTCCTTTGGACTGCCCCTGCTGGTAAGCTTTTTGCTTAACTGTAGATTACATTTGTTGCAAAAGGAGATTCTGTAAATATCCCGAGGTTCTATACACAAACTACAGAGAGATGATCCAAGTTGTTTTTAATTCTAGGGACGTGAGCTTATAATTTGATAGAATATAGGGGTAACCGAGCGTACTATAATGTAATAACGGAAAGAAATTATCTTCTTCCTGCCCAGGGTTTGAGCCCTTTGTGCAGCCTAGTCACTGGACTTACGAGCCCAATACTAATCTGGGCTAATGCTCTCAGGCTGTCTTTGATACAGGCTGCTAAACGGGTCCCCGGCCGCAATCCTGAGGCATGACCGAATGGTACTAAAGCCTGGCTATTGATTGTATCGTCTTTTTATTTATCCTTCAACTTACAAACTCTCCATTTTGTCTGAATGTCTCATCAAGAATCACTGGATATCATCTTTGCATGCAAGCTAATTTTATTTCCTTTTTCACCCACGTCCACAACCTTTTGTCATTCAATCACTTTAATTGTAATAGGTGATACGCTATCTCAATGAATGCTGTTTATTTCTCTTTTTAAGTGAATTACATGATACTTCGTGGCATCTACTAAAATTACAATGCGATCATATTCGGGTGCAACTCACTTTTGTTTAAATGTAACTGAGCTCTGTTTGTTGATGGTTATGATACAACAAAACTTCTAGGCTGTCTAATTAGGCTTTAAACTTCTCTTCGATCAAAAGGTTAAGGACGTTAAAGAAGTTGTGAATATTTTTTATTCTCTTTTATTTATAAACTGTCTATATTATTATATATATTGTAAAAGAAAGAGGGATCAGTAAGCAAAAAGAAAAATGATTAAGGAAAGAAAGTTTGACTATATTTGAGTAAGGAGTGGCCTCATTTGGCTTTGGCAGGACTAGTTCCGAATAATGGAGTTGTTATATCTGGGGAAAAAAAAAGGGGAAAGCCATAAATACAAAAATTATTTGTTTAAATGTAAAAGAAATTAAAAACTTAACCTTCACAGATGCTCAGTCGATGCGAACAGGAATCGCAGCAACTATTTTTTGTTTTGATCTGGCAGCTTGCAAAATAAAACGAGACAATAATTTTTTTGATCTTTAAAGGTAATTTAAAAAAAGAAAAAAACATCATGAACAGATTCAGAGTACTGTTAGATCAGGCTGGATGGGAAAGGGACGCTGGCCATGCGGCAAACTGATCGAGCGCCTCCACGTGGTGGGGTCCTACAAAAGATCAATTATCCATTGCTTTGTCATATCCTCTCCTGTTTTTTGTCTGTCCCAAAACTCAGCAATAACTGACAATTGGGGTCCTCAATTGGTCGTTGCGCGATTTTTGGGCATCAGAGCCCTGTCTCAACCACGCCAAGGCACCCCCATTCATGACCCACAAGCAACGCAACTATATATATCTATATATATGGTCTTCCTGATATATTCCAATTTTGAGGTTTCTGTCTTTGCCAACAATCCATACGGTAATTTGAATCACAATTACAATATCCACGCCAATTGCCATCATCCTTTTTTTCTTTTAATCAAGTAACCCTGTACGGTAATTTGAACAAAATTTTTCACAAGGATGCGTAGTTGCGAGCTCATAGTAAAGAAATTTCCGCCTAATTTTGTGTGTATGATATACAAAACTTTCGCCAGTTGCAAAGTAACTTACCGTGTTTATTCAACTCAAAATCAATTAAATTACAATGCAATTTCATTGCCAAATAATTCTGTTCCGGTTCTGATAAAATTGCAACCCCTTTACCTCCATTATTGGTTTTTAATTTCAGGATTCCTTGAATTAGTTTTTTCCATTTCAAAATTAAGATTTTTCAAATCGAATCTTAAATAAACTATTCATATTCATTATAATTTTTTTTGATACTTTTTATTTTTGATATAACTCTCATCCAGATGAGTTTGTGTGTGTGTGTGTATATATATATATATTTTCTTCTGATCTTTCCAATGAAATTAGATGCACATGCTGACAAAGATACATAATAAACACAGAAAAACATTCCCCATTTTTGTCAATTTAATGCATACTCTCGAGAACTAGTATAATCAAATTGGATCGACATTTCTCCGAAATATCATCTAATTAGATGCAAAATCGGATGGAATTCACTTTAAAGGAAAATGAGATTGCCCCATTCTAAGAAAAATGAAACTGCTTTAGATTTCCTACGCGCGCGCGCACATATATATTAGTGAAGTACCCAAACACAGACTGATCACATGGCCTGTAACTAAATTACAACGCCGTCAATATATATATATGTGTGGGTTCGCGCGCCTATACGGAGGAGTATTCATGAGTTCTTTCCAACCCCAGAATTTATTTAATGAAGTAGATAAAGTTTTTGAAGAGTATTTTGCTGGACATGGTAGTATCTATATATGTTTGTTAATTATCTCAAATCTTGAAGGTAATGGATAACATGTTGTTGCGCCGAATCTGAATCCTTGACCTCACACGCACGTAGATCAGAGAAGGACCCTCTTTGCTAAGTAATCTATTTGGCCTGACACATGCATGTGAATATGTATTGTTGAGGAGTCAAAGGCTTGCCAGGTGATCTCCTCTTTCCATTGAACCTGAAACTAAAGGTTAGGTCTGATTCGTGGTTAGAATTCCATTGATATCTCTAACGAGCAAATCAGTACTTGAATAATATATTATTCAGTGTCACTCTTATTTTAGAAAATATATTTATCATTATCTTTTTTATATATATTTACAGATAATAAAATATTATCTGATCAATTTTTATATTAATCGAAATTAAACTTATCATTTCTTATATTTAACCAACATCAAAACATGTTTATCTACTCGTCGATTGTTGAGCTTTTTTTAAACCAAATAAGAATAAACTTGATATTACTAAAAAATAATCATAGTTAGTTATTAATAAATAATGAAAATTGAATCTTGATCTTGATCAAACTAAACAACCTCTTTATCATTAGATCAAATCTTTTTATCGCACAAATCGAGAAATGGTCTAAGTTTATCATTTTATCTTACTGATATACGCTACACCATGTATATATAGATTGCATGTTACAATATATATGATAGATATGATAATTAATATATGTAGCAGTAGCACCTTTAAAAAATTGATGGTCATGCCAGCTTAAATTTCCATCTCCTTAAGATAGCAAAGAGGCCACGACCTCTTAACAGTTTTGGCATGGGGGAGTTGGAAGTTGAAATAGTTGTTGAGTCGCTAATGATTGAAGCAAATTTAATAACGAAAGGTCGATCAAACACATGAGATATAATACAAACAGATCCAATACCCCACTTAATAAATAAAGAACAGCAAAACCAACAGGGTTTCATATCCAATAATTTCAGGTCAATAGTTTTTAGTTTTGTGATCATCGGCTACATCCTTAATTTGGAGGTCTGTTGTTCTTTTTCTTCTTTTGTTATTTATTATTGAGTTATGATAAATTTATGCTGGCTACAATTCAAGGATTAATCCCGATGGTTAAAGATGTTTGTTTTAACTTGTAACTTTTAAATTTAATTTTTTGGTTCAATATCTAAAGAAATTTTATTCCTTCTCAAGTCAATATAAAAATAAGCTTTTAAAATTGTCTGCAGAAAAAAAAAAGAAAAAGATTAAGCGTAAATCAGCACTTCCAAATTAGCCAGTCCTGGACGTTGGGTGTGTGTGTGTGTGTTGGGGGGGGGGGGGGGGGGGGGGGGGGGTGTGTGGGTGGGTGGGGTTGTGGTGTGGTGTGGTTGGGGTGTTGGGAAGGATAAATGCTAGCACCTATACCAATTCAGGCAAGCCATACCCATACTAACTTAACTTATGCTGCATTGCATAATTAGACAAATTCACTTTACATGGAGATTTAAAAATAAAAAGCTCTATTAATCAATGAGATCACTGTTCTTGTTCATTATTATATTTTTAAAGACAATTATGACAATGATTGTGATGATAATGGGAGAGCAGAATGATGATTAACTAGAGAATTTGGATATAATCAAGCAATTGGCACAGTAACTTACTCTTAAAATTTTCTTTTGGATATAATCAAATATATAAGCTTATAGACGCATTGATAAATAATTGATGGCAGTACTTGACAAGAAACTAGTTGGGTGGGAAGGAAAGAATCCTTGGCTGCGAAGAGAAGTGCAAGAGACTGAAACATGTGGGATGCCATGTGAAGAGCATTAAATTTTTAACAAACTCAACCTCCCCACTATTTTTTATTTTTCTTTCTTTCTTTCTTCGTTTTTTACATAACCTCCATATGATCATGGAGAAACAAAACAAAACAAAACAAAACCCCATGTGAAGAATCATTGAGTCTCTGAGCAATGGATATAGAGCTAGAACCCATATGTTGGAAATTGGAATGATTATGCAGAAGAAGCTGAGGAGAAAATTGTTTATATTGCTAACTAATCTCCACTACTATATATAAACACAAGGTAATTAATAATCCCATAAGATTCGCTAGACAAAGATTAGACGTGAATTAATTTGTTATTCTTTTTGTTTGCACCTCCATATGACTACTATGTATATCTATATATGGCTTGGCTAAGGACGGCTAGGCATGAATTCGTAAGCCAAGTACTTTATAAGCTGAGAACAAAGAAATTCCATGTGTAATACTTTTTTTTTTTTTTAATTCATGTATTCCTATCCTACATTGGAGATATGATTGACCATGTTCGTAGCGAGAGCGATAAAGTTTAACCCATTTCAATAAATACGACTCTAAAATTCGAACCTCGTATATTAATAAAAAATTCATTTAGAGATCAATTCGTTTACTACTAGACCAACAACTTGGTGGTTACATGTGTAATACTCTAGTACTAGACTCGTTATATATATAATTTCTAACAACCATTTTTACAAGGGGTCTAGTTG